GGGCCGGGGCGGGGAGGGGGGGGGGGGGGCCGGGGAGGGGGGGGGGGGGGGCAGCTCTGGGGCATCTCCCATCAGCTTTCCAGGCTGTCGGTGAGGAGGGAAGGGCGGGGGTTGGCAGCCCCCGGGCTTGCCCAGCCCCTGGACGGGCTCCGCAGAGCTGCTCTGCTCGGGGGCAACAACAACTCCATGAGCCGCGGGTACTTGGCGTTCGGAAACAGGTTTCTGTGGTGCTTGGCTGCCGTTCACATCCCCCTTGTGTTATTCTCATGGCTTTGAAGGCGGGTAAATGGCTATAAAATTTTCAGCGGAGTGGAGGAAAATGTAATTTTTACTTTCCCACTTGCAGTCGGTCAGTTTTATCTTTGAATGTTTGATTAATGCCTTTATCAATGGGGCCACTTAGAACTGTTTTACTGTTGTGATTTTAACTGCAGTAGCTGGATGACGTTTTTGGTGAGGTATTTGTGAATACATTTTTGTATTTCTGCTTATAAATAGAGGCATGCTTGAGTCTGTGGGTTTTGAAATGTGCACTGTTCAGGTAGAAACCCTTAATAGAATTCTTCAGTATCAGAATGGCAGTCAAGTTTCCTGTACAAAACAGAAGAAAATAAAAATGTCAAGACCAAGTCTTTTGTAAAAAGAAAAGGTCTTGCCCCCTCCTCTCCAAAACAGAAATTGTCTACTGAATAATTAATCTGTCAGACTCTAGCAGAGATGGGTGCTTAGTAACAGTTATACTGTCTAGAAGGATCTCAGTGTTTAAATTTCTCATATCTTGCACAATTACCAGTCTGGAAGCCTTGATGGAATAGATCCTGGTGACATAAGCTCATCTGTCTGGTTTTAAAGTACCCTGCTCAATGGCCTGACATCAATGGGACAGGCCCTGCTGTGATCATGTTCTCACAGTCATGAAACACACACAGTCTGACTAAAATCAGCCCTTCCAGTCCAGATTGGAGTTCCCAGGGCTTTATTTCTGGTTTGTTTGCTTTGTTGTGGTCATTTCAGCGTTGCAAGATGCAAGAGTGAGCTAAGAACAAAATCCTATTGATCTGTCCCTGAGTGGGTATGAGAAAGGGGTGTGAGGGATGGATTGACACTGATGTCAGACATGAGCAAGTGCTGCTACATTAGCAAGCCCAATACTTAGTGGTTTATCATTATTGCTGTAAAACCCTCTGTGTGCTGCTCTACCCTGAAGAGAATTGCTTTTGTCTGAATGAAAATTCAGCCGTTTAAGGAAATGGATGGCACTAAATGATACACGGTTAAAATGAATTATTTAAACGGATAATGTAACTCGGGCAGGATCAATCTGGCTCCTTTTTTCCCTGCTGACCCCCCTGTCCAGTTTCACCACCCTCAGCCTCAAGGATCAGCTGGAAACAGAACTGAAACACAGTTTCAGTGTCAACGTAAACTTCATAACGGGAGATTCAACCAAAACTTCCCGCAGGGCGGATGGTAAAGCTCAACCTGGGGGTGGTTTTATTGTGTTACATGTATTATACCATGATGATTTCTATTCTGTTGACATTGGCGGGGTAACGAGCGGCACAGTTGAACAGTCTCTCGCAGTGATTGCCTTTTCAGAAGCGGGGTGACAGCTGGGATCCCGCAAGAACCCCCTCCAGAGGACAGATATGGATGTATTTATATATATAAATAACAGCGCTCGGCGGTGAACTAGCGAGCCTGGGTGGATGCGCTCGGCGCTCCGCTGGCCGGCGGGACGGGCGCCATGAGGGCCCCGCGGCCCTGCGGCGTGTGCGGGGCGGGCGGGGCCGCCAAGTACCGCCGTCCGCGCCGGTCCGCCG